CGACAATTTTTTGCACGTTTATAAATCTCTTTTCGTTCATAAATTGAATATTGTTGCCACATCTGGTCTGGGGCTTTTGTTTTATATTTAGAGATTCTTGACAAAATCCAAAGAATGATCATTGTTATCGGTCCAGACCAGGCACCTCATCTTCAGTAACTTACCCACCACTGTAATGTAGTTTCCTTCTGCATCTTCTATACATATAGTCACGGAATTGGCTTGGTGAACTTTCTTCATTGGTACAGCGACTTCACAAATTTAGTGAATTTTTCCCAACATAATCTATCTTAGGCATTTATAAATGTACCATTCGTCTATGCACTGACTATTGCTAGTGTCTAGTGCTACTACTATTCATTTAGTGATTCTTGATAAAATCCAAAGAAGTATCTGCAATGTTATCGGTCCTGACCTGACATTTCGGTTTCAGTCACTTCCCCACTGCCTTAACGTAGTTTCCTGTACCTTTTCTATAAATAATTTCATGGTAATTGTTCTGATGAGCTTTTCCTCTTTGCCACCGAGACTTTATGCTCAGTACTAGTTGTAACCGTAAGTTCTATGTTAACAGTTTCTTCCATCGCACTTCTCGCTTGTGAGATTCCCTTCCGGCTTCTTCCTTTCCACTCAATTTTGGTCTTCAAAAATTTAAACGCAATATTTATCGTTATCTTCTTATTTATTGTTCTTTTGTTGTTCTCTCTCCTTAATAATGTTTTTTTTTTTCTCGTATTCTCTCAAACTCAGTAATCCGTTGCGTGTTCGTGAAATGATATAAAAAAAAGAAAGAGCGCAGTACTAGATTGGCAGCTAGGTCTCATAATGTCACTGTTGAATTTGCTAGTTGTAACCATAACTTCTAGATTAATAGTTTTTCTCCTTTTCTTTCACTCCCAGTAAGCACTTGCGATCAAGTGTATCTTACTGCTTTTCATGGCGCTAACATTTAAAATAAGTAGATAAAAGAGAAAATGAAAAAAATACATTTCAAGAAACTGAGTTTCTATTTAGTTACGGGGGTCGAAATATTTCATAATTTTAAACTAATCTGTTTATAAAGATTTTTACGATAATAATCTGCGTTTCGCCTCACTCTGAAAATGACTTCTTAAACGTTTGGTTGTATATTGACACTTAACAAGGCTTAACGTAGCTGTGAACAAAGAGATAAGCGTATGCCACCCACTGGGGACTGAACTCTTTACAACAGCGATTAACTTACAAAGTACTGCTTGATGGAGTGGCGGTCAGAATTCTTCTTTTTCTATGTGCCGTATTCCTTCAAGAAGTAGACGATTTACCATTTTCTATACATTGTAGCTCTTAATATGTTCTGTCTTTTTGCTATCGTTTCTAAACTCTGTTCCATCATCCTTCTTGATGTTAAATATATGTTTTCTTTATGTTTCTATTTTCTTTAAAACTTCGTCGCTGCTCAGATGTCCTGTCCGTGGTATTCTCACCATCCTTCTGTAGATTTATATTTCTGTTGCTTCAATTATCCTCTTCATCTATAATGAGATCGTCCAGCATTCACTGTATGACTGAATATTTACTGAAGGACTGCATATTCATTGGATGACTGAATATTTACTAAAAGACTGAATATTCAATAGAGGACTGAATATTTATTAAGGACTGAATATTTACTAAAGAACTGAATATTTAATGGAGGACTGAATATTTATTGGAGGAATGAATATTTACTAAAGGACTAAAAATTCATTGGAGGACTGAATATTTACTAAAAGACTGAATATTCAATATAGGACTGAATATTTACTAAAGGACAGAATATTCCCTGGAGGACTGAATATTATTTAAAGAACTGAATAATCACCGGAGGACTGGATATTTACTGAAGGACTGCATATTCACTGGATCACTGAATATTTATTAAAGTACTGAATATTCATTGGAGGACTGAATATTTACTAAAAGACTTAATATTCAATAGAGGACTGAATATTTACTAAAGTACTGAATATTTACTAAAGAACTGAATATTCAATGGAGGACTGAATATTTATTGGAGGAATGAATATTTACTAAAAGACTCAATATTCCCTGGAGGACTGAATATTCATTAAGAACTGAATATTCACTGGAGGAATTAATTTTTACTAAAAGACTGAATATTCAATAGAGGACTGAATATTTACTAAAGTATTGAATATTTACTAAAGAACTGAATATTCAATGGAGGACTGAATATTTACTGAAGGATTGCATATTCACTGGATGACTGAATATTTACTAAAGTACTGAATATTCATTGGAGGACTGAATATTTACTAAGAGATTGAATATTCAATAGAGGACTGAATATTTACTAAAGTATTGAATATTTACTAAAGAACTGAATATTCAATGGAGGACTGAATATTTATTGGCGGAATGAATATTTACTAAAGGACTGAATATTCCCTGGAGGACTGAATATCATTTAAAGAACTGAATATTCACTGGAGGACTGAATATTTACTGAAGGACTGCATATTCACTGGAGGACTGAATATTCCATGGAGGACAAAATATTCACTAAAAGACGGAATATTCAACGGAGGGCTGAATATTTACTAAACTTGGCGTTGTCTGTTGGACTAACCATAAATTGCAAAATGACGGAATATATAGTTGTCAAGATGTAGGCAATGATGGCTCTCTACAACTTCCTATCATTTGTAGCTCTGAGAAGGCTTTGTGTTTTCACCATCCCTCAAATTGTCTATTTTAACATTCATTTTATACAAGCTCTTTAGGTTGTTTACTCGCTGCTTTTCTTCATTGTGCCCTGTGAGTGTCAAATTCTCCAAACCCTCTTTCCTCGTGTCTATTAAATATCCAACATGGAATATCTGCCAAAAAAGGAGAAATGTTGCAAGAACCTAGACGCAAATTTACTGTGGGTAATCTAGCGATGTGGTATTTAATAACAAAAGTGATAAAACCTGACCAAAAAGAAAAAGAAACTAAATAAAATCGTTTTTTTTATTGATTTACTATTCGTTTTGTACATTTGCAGGTTATTTAAAGAAAATGTTTTTAGATTGTAAGTTTGTAGATAATAATAATTTTTTTACTTATATAGCTGGAAGTGGAGAAGTGGTGGATATATTCTTCCCAGCGGTATTTGCTCGTAAGTGAATATAAAAAAACTCCAAGGGAATAGGTCTCGTCTCTCCGATTGAAAATTCTGAGTCATCATCCATTATACCACCGGTACATATAAACTTACAACACCTGGTATTCTCACATGTTTACCGATCTAGGTACGAACCAGGCTCAGGATTGTGTGTCTAGATTAAATAAAATAGGCTAGACTATATTCCCAAAGAATATATTAAAAAAATTAATTACATTTATATTTATTTGTGTTGCACCGGCCTCTAACACAAGGGAATTACACCAGTTCTCACTATATATAGTGCCAGTAATACCTACCCGGGGTAAGCAGCGACAGTACTACAACTGCCTAGCTGAGTAGTAATTGTTTCCTACCTTTTGTATCTGTGATGTTAAATACACTTGTTCTTTAAACCAACTTCGACTTGATTTTCTTATTTTTACTATTGTGCCACGACACAACAATTTCTTACAATCATATTTGTTCAAAACTGTTTATGTACATTTTGTACACTTTTACTTACATTTTTAGCGCAGTTTAATCTCTTAAGAGCTCAAAATGCCCTCCTTCATCATTGCAACATTCCTCGAGCCTCTCCAGCGAATTCGATTGGAATTGGAACTCGATTCTCCGATGAACAATTCTGAGCCATTAACCATGACACAACCCCAAATCCAGGCTTACAGTCCCTGCTAATCCCAGGCGGTTACAACACAGCACGACTCTAATCTGCATTAATTTCAATAAATACATCTGAGATGTACTCTTTTAATTCGTTCACTCTGTGGGGATTTTTCTCATAAACCTTGTTCTTTACCTACAACCTCCTAAAAAAAAAAAGGAGATCCATTGGTGTTAGGGTATTTGAACGAGGTGGCCATTCGATGCTGCCCCTTCTTCCGAAACAACGCTGTGGAAAGGTCTGGTTAAGGTAGTCCTTTACTGCCAAAACTTAATGATGTGCTCCATCTTGCTGAAAGAACAGTTCGGAGAAGTTATATCTAAAACATGAAACAAATGGTGAAACTACTGTAAGCTTACTTTTGGCCCACCCTGTATGTGGTTACGACTCATTCGACCTCTGAATAGAGCCCTTGTTGGAGCAAAGAAAGTCATTGTTATTTTTTTAATTTTAATACATTTCACGCAATCATTTCTTTTATTAAATAAAACAAATGTGCGCTTACCACATGTTTGATTTCCTTCACATATTAATCATTTCACAAATATTGATCACGTTTCACACGCTCCCTTGATTTCTGGAAGCCAAATAGATTTAAGAATCCAATTTTATACGCCATCTGCGAGCACGTTAAACAAAGAAACCATTCCTTGTCTAGCGGCTTCGATTTTTACTAGGTTCACCATGGTTGCCAATCTCAGCTTAATAAATATTCCCATTTGGTTTACAGGTTACATACAACCCCTGGCAAAAAAAAAAAAATGCCCTTACAGAATGCTCCCTCGGGTGTTTTTATTTAGTTTTTGCTTTTTTTAGCGTCATATCAAACTCTGTAGGTTATTTAATGCTGAAATCTAAATATTTTGTACGCAGTTTTATTTTATTTTAAAAAATAATAATGATTTTGTGATATAAGTCTTACTAGTTAACCCCTAGCTGGGGAGAAGAGGCGGATTCATGCCTGGCCCAATGGTATTAAAGCCAAGTCGTTAGAATTTTTTTGTTTTTTGTATTTAGATAATATTTTTTTCTTTACTTATATAACTGGAAGTGGAGAAGAGGTGTATTCTTATAATTCCTAAGGGTATTTACGCGTAAGTGAATATAACGAACCCAACTGGAATTGGAACTCGGTTTTCCGATTAACAATTCCGAGCCATTATCCATGACACAAACAGCACATCCAAGCTTACAGCACCCGTTACTCCCAAGCGGTCACACATTTAGGTATTGGCCAGGCTTGATGTTGCTTAACGTCGGTGATCGTACAGGAACAGGTTGTCAAACGTGATATGGCCGTCAGCATTTAGGCCCAAAAGTGTGCTTGAGTAATATCTTAAATGGGTCTGGAGACACCAGGGTAGTGTAATCATTAGTTGGGGTTTCTACTAAATTAAATATATTTTCTGTTACATGGAATTTCAAATTGTGCACAAGTGCGACTGAAATTTCTTTTTATACTAAAAATGGGCAACAATGAATAAAATGTTGAGAAACAATGGTTTAAATCAAGGTTTCCCAACGTAGGCTATATAGATACTTTTAGGGGCCACAAGGTCAAGTTTGAGAAATGTAGAGCCATGGCGGGAGGGGGGGTCACAGAAAACTTAGGACCCACAAAACATATTTATTATTTAGAGTATTTTGTAATTGATAATTATTATTCAAAACAAAATATTAAATTTATTATTAAGTTAAATATTGAATTAATCTAAACCACTGGCCGTTTATTTTTCAATTTCTTAAAATTTGAAACTCATAATGTAATGTTTAAATTAAGGTATTGTTTTCACCAACTTTCAATTTTGAAAAGCTAAATGGCCTGAACAAAAACTCCAAGGAAATAACTTTTTTTTTTCTGCAAAGATACAATTAATGCATTTAACGGGAAATTAAAGCTGTTCTGATTGAATATTGGGAGACAGGAGTTTGCGCAGTTTTTTCTTCCTTAGCAAATATATCCACCGAGCTGCTTAATGATAATTTAGTAGTGTATGTTGATCATTTGAAGCAGTTGAATAATGAAAACTCACTTATTTGATCTACTCCAAATGACAGTGCCGCGCTAGTTTGTTGACCCCTTCATTGCTGATGCATCTGAAGTTGATATCACCCTACAAGAAAGTTTCATTGAACTTCAAAATAACGCAGCTACTCAAGCGAGGGTCAAGTGTAGAGGATACCAGAAGCTGTGGATGAATGAAGACATGCATATGAATTACCCACTATTCTGGAAAGATGTCATGTTGCTCTTACTCGCGTTTCCCACATCTTACTTGGTTGAGTCTGGTGTCAGTTTGATGATGCATCTGCTGTCAAAGAGTCGAAATCGCCTTGTAGAAAAAAAGAGGTGATTTACATCTCTCTCTGACGACTTTCAAGCCAAACATTGACAATTTGGCAGCTTTGTACCAGTCACAGATCCTATTTAAACCATACAAGATAGAGCTGATGGTTAATATATTATAAATTTCTGAGAGTCTATAATATTTGGTGAGCAGTTTGTATGCCATCAGATATTGTACGTACGAGAGTTTAGGGTTTTCTCTTTTTCATGCAAATAAATTGACACAAATGTTTCGAAAACAAAAAAAAATCAAAAAAATTTTAGAGGTTTTAGAATAAATTTTATTGATAAATCAAGATATATAAATTTTACAGTATTTCTTCATTTTATAAATCAGACGCTATTACGAGGTGTATGTGTATGGAAAGAGAAACTTGGTGCCTTTAGGTTTGTTTAAGTATATATGTGCGTTGTTCACATTTGTAATGGAAAATAATACATAGGTGCTATTATATCTTAAAAGTTTAATCTATTTTATTGCACCTATACTAAAAAGAATACATATATATATAGTACAGATTATAAAATATTTTCTGTCTTATTTGTTGTTAACCAAATAAGCTAGTCTATGGTCCCATCATATTGACTATGTGTGCGCATGCGTGTGAGTGTCGTTGCTTCCTTTCAATATGTTTTTTTTCTTCACTTCTATTATAATACGACGGAGTAAATATAGTTAATTCTGTTTCCTTGATTTTCCCGGGTCATTGGCGTTAGGATGATTTAATAAAAGGTGTATGAGGATTTGACCCCACTTAGTTTGCCAAGGCGCTCGCTAGGTGGCACTGTTTCAGGACTATAATAGATAAACATGATATTTTTTTTTCTTTGCTTTTTAATCTTTTCAAACTAGAATGCGGTAGGTGCCGAAAGCGAATTGTACCCGCTGGGGGAAAAACAAATCCTTTCCCCTGGGCGACTGACAACTGAATAGACACAAACACACACATACATACACATATCACAGGCGCACACACAATTCATAATAGCTAAGTTTTAGAAGTGTTCTTTTTTGCTTTTCAGCTGTGTACACACTTGTATATTTTCTCTCTTTTGTAAATCAATTATTAGTTATACGAAAATAACTCCCTGTTGAAATTTATTCCTTTTACGTCTGAAAAATAAGGACCACGTGAAAAAATTGTTGCCTCCGCTTTTAACTGAGCTCGAAGTAATAACTGCAACAGATGTAAGGAAATAGATAATCGAAAAAAGGACATTTAAACTGGTATGTTTTTTTTTTAAAAAAGAATCTGTTTGAATTTTCGATACGCATGTCAAAACCCAATACGACAAAAACAGAATTTTTAAAAAGCAGAAAATTGTCTAAAAATCCCTCAGAATCAAGGCAATCAATATAGGGTTATTTCACATTGCGATATCGTGTTTTCATTGTGATATTTAAAAAAAAAATTACAATAATCTATCTGATAAAAGATATATTTTAAATGCATATTTAAGATAAGATATGAAATGAAAACATGGTATGATGTTACATATACGAGGTGGTGCAGGAAAAGTTACCGTTTCGACATATATCCTAAATTATTATTCCAACCATGGCTTAACTTTCTTTACTCTTCTCCAGCTAGTATGCAATACGTCTGACCGGTCATGTGACCCTTATCTCCCTAAACACTGACGCACTTTCGAGAAAGACGTGAGTCATCAGTTATACGCCACTAATGGATGGTGCGTTCCGCCACTCGCAACATGGCGTGCCGGACTTGTGATTAAAAGCAGCTTTTCCATTAGCTTTCCTTTTCAGTGTCGAGGTGAAGGCATATAACATTTTTACAGATTGTTAGCATGTACTCCTAGAAAAAATATATATATAATAAAAATCATTTACATTCATCCGACTTCTCCCTTCTATTTTTATTGCTATAAATGCTTGGGTAATTATCTGTACTGCCGGCGTAAACACAACATCAAAGATTTTTGGAAGTGGACCGTTCTGATAACTTTTGACCAATCCTTCGTATCTATCTATCTATCTATCTATCTATCTATCTATCTATCTATCTATCTCTCTATATATATATATGTACGTATGATAAATTCTGGTTGTTAATGCCATAGGAAAAAAATTAATGCCGCTTTCAGGAACGATCAGCTTTTTACGTTTTTTTTTTTTTTTTTAAATTTTTGCGATCCCATCAACAAAGTCATGGCTAACTTAGGTATTAAATTAGTGCTTGTGTGGATGCGTGGTATTTCTTATTAGTACAAACTTTATTTGAAATTGATATCCCTGTTTTTTTATATAATTTTCAGAAACAGTCAAATTAATAACAACTGGTCTAGATCACGAAGTCCTATTAAAGAAAAGAAAAATGGGCCTCGCAAGAGAAATCGAAATTTTTACCTGCCGAGACATAGAATTTTGCCTACTAACAGAAATTGAATTTTACCTTCGCGCAGAAATCAAGTTTTCCCTTCAGACAGAAATCGAATTTTGCCTCCCGACAGTAACCGAATTTTGAATTCCGACAGGTACCGACTTTTGCCTCTCGACAGTAATCGAATTTTGCCTACCCACAGTTATCGAATTTTGCCTACCCACAGTTATCGAATTTTACCTTCCGAAAGGTACCGATATTTGCCTCTCGACAGTAACCGAATTTTACTTTCTGAAAGGTATCGAATTTTGCCACCTGACAGGTTCGATAAGCACGGTTTTGCTTTTTAGGACTTCTCGATATCGACCGGTTTTTATTAATTTGCGAAAATAATGATAATAAAAAAAAAAAAAACGGGGGTAGCAACTCAAACATGGGATCACACTAAAAATAACGTTTAAATTATAAAGAAATAATGTCGGATAAAATAATCCATTCAACACACACACACACACAGACACACATACACACACACACACATATATATATATATATATATATATATATATATATATATATATATATATATATATATATATATATATATATAACAAAAAAAGAACAATAATGAGAGGTTCGAAAGTATATTTGAATAACGAAAATAAAATAATTCGTTTTTAATAGTCGGCGAAAATTCGTATATGAAATATAATATATATATATATATATATATATATATATATATATATATATATATATATTTTGCATGAATAAAATGGATTGCGAAAATATTTTTGTGCAAAAGATTTTTTCCCAATTAAATTAAGAAAGGAACGCATTTTATATAAATCGTTTAATTTTTAAATATATTTTTAAATTGGTACAAAACATGTTAACTTGTTAGTTTTTCAGAACTGAGACAAAACTTGCAGATTGGAACTGTTTCTCAGTTTTCCACATACACACACACGCACACGTCTGTGTGTGCCTATACATTTGTCTCTCTATATGTGCATATACATATATATTTATCAATATATTTGTGGATAATCTTTTATTACTTCAAATGTTATTATAGTGGACACTTCGTATTTGAAATAGACGCCTCATTTTAATTTATTAAACAGCATATGTTACGTCTGTTGGTTTGCGTATTCGAAAAAAATTAAATAACATGTTCCCCCAGAAGGATCGAACCTGCGTTCCCCTTTGTAGGTAAACCACCGTTTTATCTAGCGTGCTTTACGGCGTTGACTAGTATTTACTCACAACGTCAGTCTACGACAGTAAGGTTTAGATAAAATATCGTTAGTCTTGTTTGTATGAAGAAAGCCAGGTGAATGCCTGATGCTTTAGATGCTAAACTAAAAGAACTTGATGGCATTGCCGAAGATAAAATCTAATCTATAACTCATCACACTAAACCATGAGAATAGAAGAGAGAGAAACTATGCGTAAACTACATAAAGAATATTTCTGAATGGATGGCAGAGAAGGAGTAAAGAGGGATGTTGATTTTTTTTTTAACGGCTTATCGACCTTTTATGGTTTAGTTAAAGAATAATACTTCATTTGCGAAGTATTATTTTCTTTTTGGAGATAAAAATGTTTTTTCCAGATACAAGTCCTATTTAACCCATATCTGGGGGAAGAAGATAGATTCATACTTTTCGCAAAGTTACTTGCACGTAAGTGAATATAACGAATTTAAATGAAAATCGAACTCGGGCCCCGTTTTCACATTTCGAGCCGTTATCCATTACACCAGCTGCACATCCCAAAGAGTGATACATCTGAGGAATGACAAAAAATCAGGAAGTTATGGAGTACCATAATCGCCAACATCCTGAAATGACTTGGGATATTAAAGAAGAACGAAGAATTTGTTATATCGTAATCATCATCACTATTTAAGCTCTGTTTATTAATGGTCATAGAATTAAGGACTGGGTAGCTGCTATAGTAATTAATGAAATTAAGATGGAAGAAATAGTAATGGTGAAGGAGCCGTTTTCATACAAGAAATATTCAGCATTCAATGACCAAGCCATTAGCGTTAAAATTGGTTACAATTTATGAAATCTTTCTCTTAAAACAGTTTTTTCCGGAAATTAGATTTGTCAAGTCCAATATCTGTTGTAGCTCTTTCTTTTATTTATGGGAGTTTCCTTCCTAATCTTTTGTTTAAGGTAGGGTCAAAAGTCAATATCTTGATTATATCATTGCTTCCCTTCCTCGTTATATGTGCTATACATTTTAGTTGTTGCTGCTGTTGACAGTCTTCAAGTGATGTGGTTTTCTGTTATTTGGTTCGTTGTGATTCTGCAGCGCCAGTCTATAAAATCTGGTAAAAGATTACCTTCTTCTAGATCTACAGGATTCGTTCACTTGAAGCCATTTTTAATTATTGGCCTGGGAAAACGGTTGTAGTTTAGGCATTTCTGAACGAGTTGATCGCCATGCATAATATCTATAGTGGAGTCTAAAACGGAAGAGGCTATTTAAGATGACTCGAAATTAAGAATTTGGTATTGTAGTATCTTGCGATGTTGGAAAAAATAAAACACAGCGCAGTTTATTCTATGTTCAATTTCTTTATTTCTTATA